AGTAAAAAATTGCGTTTTGCAGAAGTTTGAAACAGTATACGATATTGTATACTCAACTAGATGATTTTTGGCACATAGGCAAAATTTCCTGTTTTTTCATTGTACAACTATTATACTAGAACATTAAGAATACATCTCATACACAAGGAGAAACATAATGCAACGATCAGAACCAAACAAGTGTGGAAAGTCATAAAACATTGGTTTTTTCATCGGCATCAGTATACTACTTCTATGTTTTATTTGAATAAGTTTGAAAGAGAGCAATATTTTCATATTCTTATATGTAACGTCTTCAGTATTCAATTTATTACTTTCACTCAAATAGATGAAAATTAAAAACAAATCGCAAGTAAAGCACCTGTAACTTATTGACAAGATAAAACTACTATTAATCACAAATATTTCACGTAGTCGAATATTTCGATTTCTATACTATGTATAATTACTACAGCTCTCTCTATTAATAAAAATTCACGCAATTTTGATTCAGTCATTTTACTTATGAAAAAAAAGTTCAATAACAGATAAGAGAATGACGGCATGTTTGCATCATTTTCTATTTAGAAATGTCATCAGAACGTCTGATTCAAACAGGTAAAGTTTTTATATCACTTCATTTTAAATCGATAATACAAATTCTTCTCGATGAAATGTCGCGATCGTTGACTCAACCAAAAAAATATAAACCAATAATGGCCACACTTACTACGTCTGAGCAACGTAAAACCAAGATTGATCTTAACTTATGTCAACCATTGCATTTATCACACTGCAATAAAAAGATATCAAAAGAGGCACCACAGCGCAAATGAGATCTGAAAGACTTAATAAGTGTCTGACTTGATCGGCCCATTACTCTCGAATGAGGACCATTACAAAAATGAGAGCAGAAACTATAGAAAAATTGTGGGTACTTTCACAACTGAACATTAGTTGATAACGCAGATAATCGTGGATTTTGTAATGTTATCGATGTCAGTGAAAAAACGTGCAAGATTTAACAAAAAAAAACCAAGCTCGATTTATGTAGTCTCAAATTTTAATGGAAATATAACTTGATCTACCGCGAACGTCAAAATCAAAACAAGAGTTCATTGAGGAACGTCATCGACGATATAAACACAATTGTTTTCAACAAAGTAAAATAACTGAATTTGAAAAAAATTATAATTCTTTAAATGTTCTTTCATGATATACACGTGATTACTTTTTATAAAGTGTTGTTAACAAAGCACTACGTAAACAAAACATACAGTGCGTGCCAATTTGATATTGCCTCTTTCGTATTTCTTCATTAGGACTATTACAATGCGTTTGTTTTTCGATAATTTGGTGTAAAGTGAGAAAGTACAGATCTTATCGCATCACATAGTATATTAATCAAAAACAACAATTTAAGTTCAGAGAAGAAAAACACATCAGAAAAGAATATGGTATATTTTTTTGCTGCACAGTAAGCTAAAAGTAACTGTGCCAAAAAAGTCATATTTGGATATCTTCGTCGTATTTTAATAAAATCGACTGATATTTCTGCCCACTGTAAAGGATCATTCATAATTTATGTTGATAGGACAAATGTTTAGAAAAGCTGGCTTCAGATGTCAGCAGTGACTTCAACAAAAAGATTGTCACATGCCACAAGAGAACGTGAGGCACATTTCCGACCTTTTCAACAAATTTTGGCTGAAAATTTCAGGATTCATTGAGTAGGAAAAAATGCATCTATGGTATAAATATGAGCTCAAACAAGAATAGTTTGGAGAACTCATCGAAAAAAATTAAGTGTGTTACTTGTTTTGACCAGGATGATATCGTAGTTTTTTTCAGAACACGTGTAAGATTAAAATTTATTATTGAAGTCAACTGCAGCACTTCAAAACAGTTTTTATCGAAGTTTTCCCATTAATATAAACTAAGAACTATCCTTTATCATGGTAAAGAAATCAACTCATTTAGTTACCAGACGGTGGAGATACTCATTTTTTTCCTCGGTATAGTAACTTTTTAGGTTACTGCGTAGCAAAAAAAATGACCAGATTTTTCTGATGTATTTTTTTCTTCTCAGAACTTTAGTTGTTATTTATGATTAACAAAACATGCCACGCAGTGATATCTGTACTTTCTCACTTTATAATGATTATCGAAAAACAAACACATTGTAATAGGCCTAATGAAGGAAGGGAAAACAATTGGCGCGCACTGTAATCTAGATATATATTTAAATGTAAATTCTTCATTATCGATGTTTTTCAACAACTGGCTAAATGTTATTTGCAATTCATTAAATCGTTAGAAAAGAATCTTAACAGTTTATAGAGAACAATTAATGACAGCTGACGAGTTTTTCAAGCTACAAGAGTGTGGGTGTGGAGGAAAGACCTGCATCCACACCCAATCAAATAGACAAGCATAGCTCATTGGTTCGTATACGCTTTTGTATATTGATGCGATTTCCATTATATTTGATCAAGTGAATGGCATATACGAGAAAAAACAAATTCTGTCTCAACACACAGAACTTGATATTAACATACAAGTCCTAAGAAATATTTTTCTCGTAGTAGTTGTTTTTTTTTTCATTTGATGAAAGAAGTGTGTATGCACAGGTAAATGTGACGCAGCATAAAAATAAAACAGAACACAAGAAAAATATGTTACTTCAGTTTGTTTCACAAAAGTAAAAGCATATGAACTTTCATCGTCAATGTAATCCTATGATGTAGATTCGCTTTCATGACGAAAAATCTGCCTTGTTTGTTTCATATTTGATTTCCTCTTTCAAACACAGGTATATTGTGATATTAAGATCTTTTAAAAATCTTGCCATTAATCATCGTAAATAAAGTTAGTATGATAAAGCTGTACTAATGCTTTACGAAAGCTCCAATTTTATGATTAAATATCTTATCAACCAATTCATTTTCATAGAAAACTACGATTGTTTTGAAAACTTCTTATCTCATATAATTATTCTTTAGTATACATCATTCGGGTTGTATAACTTATTTCTCCAATAGCTGACATTTTGCTTATCTTTATAACTATAAATGTACTTTGGTAAGAACAATAACGATGATACAAACGGAAAAAAATGCCCTATGTCACATGATACACGATAATAGAGTCCATTGAGTCCAACATTTTCACACCCAATCGAACTATACTTTGACTCTCAATGAAATTTTCTAACCGAAATTGAATAGTCTCTCCGAAGATATGAGATATCTTTTTTTCGGTTTTTTGTATTCGGTGACTAGCGCACCCCATATATTTCTTAGACGATTAGAGCCCATCGGATCCGGGACGAACCCGACGGACTCTAAAAGTTAGTAGAAAGTTCCCTATAGTTTCAAAATTTATTATTTTTATGAAGCCATAAAATAAAAATAGAAAAATGCGACGAATCTTACAAAAATATGTTGCTGCATGAAAAATAAAACGATGAAATTTCTATCGTTCATATGAGATTTATAAATCTGAAAAATCACTTTAATGATATAGGCAAATAAAAGACAAATATAATGGTTTTAGTACATTTAGACTAAAAGACAAACAATAATGTGCAAAGCAATTTGTGAACCGTATCTGTAAGAAACGATTGCCTGAAGATTTAGTGACACAAACTTCAAGTTAGTTGAAAATTTGTGACTATAGTGGTCAAACAACTTATCTCTAGAAGACAACTCAAATCTCGATGAATTGAAGAGATATCTAAATAAAGACTGATCTAGAATTAGTATTTAAACTCTAAGCTTTTTGATGGTTTGCAAGAAAGTCAGGTGCTGTGTTACTCTTATTAAATCGAAGAGACAGCGATTTTGTTATTAATAGCTGTATTTGTAGTCTATAAATATTCATCGCTTTCAGGAGGAGAAATTTTGAAACTTTAGTACAGAGCAGTATCAAAGCACATGATGAAGTATCTAGAAGTTTGAAACGATATATTAAAGTACGAAGGAGTCTCAAGAATCACAGAGGAGTATGATAAAATACAAAAGTACACTTTTTTCATCTTAGATTATTCTTTGTGTACTGACAGATTACAGAATGACTCATGTTTTCTTTTCTGCATTTCTACTCCCTCTATTTACTTGGGAAAAAAAACTATTACAAACATAAGAACGAAAAGTATTTTTGTGTTGTGTATAGCGACAGATGAAGTATGGTTGACAACGAGTTAATATGTTTGACTCATTATTTATATTAGTAAAGGCGGATGAATAAGCTCAAATTCCATGTAAAGTTTAACATGATTTCGATATTATTGTTCTTTCAAATGACATGTATATATCTGTACGAAAATTATAGAACACGTACCATATTTTCTTCAATCAAGTATAACCAACTAGAACAGATTAAACAATGATGTTGCAATATAGAATTCTTTGGCTTGATGCAAATTCGTCAGATCCAATGAGTAGTTTTCGTACTAAACTTGTCGATGCTCAAACATTCACAGATATTAATGGTTGTATTCAGTACATTCCAATCTCATCCAAATGATCCTATTTATCTCATTATTTCGGGTTCGTTGGCTAAAGAAGTCGTTCCAATAATCTATGAATTTTCAAATCTTGTACAGATCTTTCTTTTTTGCGGATCAGTTTCTGCTTATTCAGAATGGGGTATGGATTATTGTGATAAAATGATGATATTTGATCATGGAGATGATCTTTTAGAACGATTATGGAATGATTTACAAAACAAGTTACGAGAATATGCGACACTATGTTTAAAACGTGCAGAGGAGTACAAACAACGAGCATTACAGTATAAAAAGTCATGCGGTTAATAGAAATGTCTTTCAATAGAAGCTTTCTTGTACTTACGTTTTTTTTAGTAGAAATTTTATTTTTTGTAACAGAAGGCTTAAGAATTTTGAATAGTAATCGAAAGATTTTTCGTTTGATCAATTTTCAAAAAATTTTACTTCTTGTTTTTCATATTAAAATAAAATCTTTTCAATGGATTCAGAATTCTAGTATTCAATTCTACGCAGTTGAAAATTCTGGAGAAAAATAACTGCTTGAACAAGATGTTATCTGCCATTGATTTAGCTCGTTTTGGACTACAGAATACAAGAAGAGATCAACAAGTATTTCTTCTTTTCGTTCGGTAGGAATTCTCTATTATCAACACTTCAAAGAAACTTAAGAACACCACCGAAGACAAATAGTAACAAGAATAACAGAATTAAAAAGCGTTTGAATTACTTCTGAAGTTGTTATATCACAAAGATCATGCACAATCAATTCTATATGGGTGTAGGTGTGTGTCACTGTGGGCACGACAAGGAGATTAAGAGCACTTCTTTGACGGAATATCATAGAGACTTCATCATTTTTTTTGTTAGAAACAAACAGCTTCGAAAAACTCTTCCGCAATTTTTTTTAACTTAGTAAAGTTATCATCTAACTAGATCAATTATATGTTTATTCGTCTCATCCGAGTTGTATAATGTAGGGATTGATCACTAATGGTGTACGAAAAAAGAAACTCTTTACATGTTTCATAACTGTCAAAACAAGCGATTTTATAATATCGTCTAGTGTCAATGTTTTTTACACGTGCCGACTATAGTCAAACGAATAAAATCTATTTGAAAAGAGAGGTTACCAGAAGCAATATATTCTATATGAAAAGGAAAGCTTATTGAATCCTTTGCCAAACGATATTATTTAGAATAGGACACAGATTCTCTGTGAGATATTCAGCGATACATATTTTTTTCGCGTTGTACATCTCAAAGCCGCCAAATTGAATTTTTTTTTAAATCGAGTTGTCTACTATCCATTCTTTTGTAAGCTAGATGAATTACTTTAATGCTGCATGAAAGCCTTCATTGTGATAGATAGCTGTACATGTACTTTGCTCGAAAACGCCTAAAGTGGAAAATGAAAAAACTCAAACAAATCTATGTGGATAAAGAAATCATGGCCAAAGTTACGGAAGAGTCGTCCGAAACGTTTTGTTCTAAAATTTTCATAGACTTTGAAACACATTTCCAATCAAATTCTTTCATGTATTTTTGCACTTGACGCTTTTCTCTTTCTAACAAAACAACAATGAAGTATCTACGATATGTCGTCACCATGTCATATCAAAAACAAAACTAATGCAGGACTGAGAATAATAAAAAATGGTTGTTTCATTATAATATTACTTTTTAATAACAATGAAACACTATTTTTCATATGAGTGACATAGTTATTAAGTGTGCATTATATAAATTTGTTGTTAGTGTGATTTTGACCTAAGAAATGAATTGCATTCTGTAATTCAGTGACTATTCACTACAACTTTCTCAGTACCTTTTTTTATTTATTAACGTTGAAACAGTGAATAAAATCAATACGTTTAATATTACCTATTAAGTCATTCATTTTTCTATCAAGAATAAAAACTCCAAAGAATTAACTGGTAATGTGCTTAAAATTGTTTTTTCTAAAGCTACAATAAAAATGTTTCACTCAAAGTGTGGAATAAGTAACTTAAAGAAGTTTGATAATCACATCTATATATAAACATCTATTAGTTCCAAATAAAAAACATTTTAAAATATGTTTCTCGATTTGTAAAACAGAGAATCAAAATGTTGAAGGTGATGACAGCCTTTGGTTTGATGTTCTTTTCTAACCTTGAATTTCAACAGTTGTGAGTTGATGATTAAATAATAAAATGAATAATCAACAAAGGTAGCGTGGAAGAATACAACCACTCTAAAGCATTCTTTTAATCATAATTAACGTCTATTAACGAGTGAATATAGCGTGACAATTATAAAAAAAAGAATCACATAAGATAAAATACGTCACCTCAAAAGTAACCGTCTTTATTTATATTGTTCCGGTTAGTCACTTTCTCTCTTTCGTATTTATATGAAGAATGCCGATTCATATTTTTTGTACGTTTCATTATCAATAAATCGAAATAAAATATTATAGTATTTAAAATGTTCCAAACAAACCATGGGTCTACATTTGAATTCGACAATACAAAAACGAGATTAGGTTATCAAACAAATACAGGTAATCATCCTCAATAGGCAATAGTGAGTGGCGAGGTAGTTTCATCAAGAAATTCTGCTGATGTATTTGATGGAAATGAAATATTAGAAGTTTCAGTCGTCAATGCTTCATTAATGGATGCGCTAAGTCTTACGTTTGGATGACAGGATAATCTCTATTCATAACATTTTCTACAATTCGTGAAAATTTAATTCTGCAATCGCAATAAGGAAGGCGCCAATACTAATCGATGACGTTTTGGTTAGTTTATAGATTAATTATCATTTAGTTGTTTTTTCTTAAAAATTTTTTGTACCATAAATAAAACAAGGCTTTAAGACAAGAATAATTGTTCTTCAACAAATGAAAATATTTTTTGACTAGATTATTTACAGTATAAATATTTTGTCGCCCATTATTATAACAATAAGTTTAGTGTAGGACAAGTGTGGATATCTTCTTTTCATTCTCATCCAAGCTCACACCCTAAAAATACACAGAGGCTGACAACGGTAAAGAGAGTATGATTGGGTTTTCTTTGTTTGCTGTTTAACATGGATCTTGAATGAGACATTTTTTTGTACCAACAAAATACGTATAAGATGCAAATATTAATGTCATATACGAGATAAAATTTATAAATACGTGTCTTTTGGAGATAGCAATAATATAGAAGAAAAGCTGTTAAAGATGATTGAATCACCACAAAGAAAATAAGAGCGATCGATATGATTCAAAATAACTCTATAATATAGGGTGGCCTAAGAACCATTTTATTGAACTAAACATTGAATATCATCACTCTAATTCCATTAAATGAGTTGATTCTTTTATCACTGATAAAAAATGTACATAGCTGATATCCACAAGAAAAATCAGAGAAATTTTTCTTGGAATGTGATCATTGATGAACTCCAAAAGAATTATTTATATCGCTGATAAAAACTAAAAGAAACGTCTGACGAGGAAAGGGTGGGTATGGGTGTGGATGAACAGATGATCCACACCTACACCCCACAGGGACAGCCATGGTCAGACCCACACGTCTGATTGCTGCAATAGTTTTTCTTGAAATTCTTTCAGATGATAATCAGGTCCTCTGGCCCAAGTATTGTATTCTGCAACTCGATGATAAATATGAAAAAGTATCTATTTGTTTTGATAATCGTTGTGAACGTTCGGATGACGTTAAACTTTTTGTTGCACAGTAAATTATACAATCAATATCCTTAGAAAAATTTTCGTTTCCTCGCGCTCGGTTCGATTCATCATAGCTTTCAAAGCTAGCAAAAACCCTACCAAAAAATGCTTGTTCTTCACTCTCATCATAAAATAAATATTTCATACAACTTGCTGATTCTGGTAATGTTCTTTCCCCACCGATCCATTGAGAAATAATTTCGAATATTCTTACTATTGAAAAACCAGTCGTTCTGTTATACCTATAATCTAAGACAAAGAGAGCAACCAATGCACTCAAAGATTGATAAAATATTGACCAGTCTAAAGCTGAAAATTTACTGTCCTGCTAGAATAAATAACTGGATTTGAGTTTGTTGTTCTTTGACAAAAAATAAATACGATTAATAGAGTTTAACTGATGCAAACTGATAATTTATTCGATCTGAAATAAGAAAAAATAATCAAATAAATTAATGTGGATATCCAATTATATAAGTTTTGCTTTCTTCTTCGAATTAAAAGCAAGCTAATCCATGATTAAACAAACAAAATTGTGATGAGTGTAATGTAATAGTATCGTTATTTATTCTTTTTATTTACCTCTTTGTAATTGTGGGTGTGGGGATGTGGATGTGGATGAACAGATGACCCACACCCACGCCCCGCACTGAAGAGATTTCTGAACTATACAGAAATCATTTCAAGTAAATAGAGATCGTAAAGAAACACAATGAGCAATCTTGTTTCTGTCATCTACCATCTGCAAGCCGATGCCTACCTCTAGAGAATGTCCAAGACGTAACTTTATAAAAAGAAAACAAAATTTTTTCCGTGTTGAATCGACTAATCAAGGAAAAAAAAGGCTTGTATCATCGAAACTTGTATCTGTTAAATTATTGTACAAAATTCTCAATTCTCACTAATTTGCTATTCATCGTTTGATAAATCGTGACATCTGTCCTACCGTTAGACTGATTGGATCAGTGTATAATCCAACAGAATTTCTTTGCTCTGCTGTTACTAATCATAATCATATGGTGCATATTCTGTCGTAGTACCCTAAAATATATCATCGAAACCGAAATGCTAATTTCGAATGCGAGGGATCTTTTTACAATAACAGATCTTTTTCCATCTGTTATACATAAAGAATCACTGTCTTGCAGTACTCGAGTACGTGGTTTGGTTGTTGTACCAGGTGGTGGTGGCAAGACAACATTGATTGACAGTCTAAAATTCTCCAACATTCATTGTGCGGACATCGACGATTATTGGGATCAACAACAAGAGCAAGAAACAGTGAGAAAATTAACCTCGGACTGGAAAGATGCTTGTTTGGATGTGAATAATTCATTTCGACGCCATCTTATTGAAGATCATTATGTCCTATTGAAAGCTCGTTTATGTCAACAAAAATGGTCAAAGGAAAATCAATATGATATCTTGTTTGTTCAAACTTGTTCACAAGCTTCTCTATTAATGGATGAAAAATGTTTAGTGTTGAATTTGTTACCTACAGCTCAATTGCATCATACAAATTTGTATAGACGAACAGCATCAATCGAAAATCCACCAGATGATTATGATGTTTGTATGAGACAATGGAAAGAAAATGAGAAACATTGTTCATATGTTTTATATGACAGTTACGAACAATTGCGAGATATGGTGATTTTATTTCATAAACTTATTTTATCGAAGAGGCAATTATTTGTTATAGCCTTTTGGACAATTTATCTCGAAAAATCTTTGCCAATCAAACTTGCTTCACATAAAGTTACTGCAACTGTTCAAGGTGAAATGAATGTGAAAGGAGGCTGAAAGAAGAATAGTAGAATCTTTCTTTAAACATCGCAAACCACTTTTATATTATAGACAGGGGCGTAGCCAGAAGAGAGTGTAGGGGGCCCAGGCCCCCCTTACGGAAAAAAACTTCCTATAACCGGACACGGGGAAAAACGTTTTGAGCTGACGAAAATGATTTTTTGGCCATGGCGACCCCCCTTCTTAGCAACTTTGGCGTTCGCCTTGAAAAATTCCTGGATACGTGCCTGATTACAGAAAATCACTACCTTATAGTCCATTGATTGATTGTTTAGTGTTGAAATACTGGCAACACTTGTGCAAGAACTGATTCAGTGCCGTGAAGTTCCTTTTTGATAAAAATTTTGCGTACAATATAACAAAATCGTATTGAATATTTAATTACTGTATGTATCGTGATTTTCGACTTGACAACGGTGCACCAAAAGTTCTATATACACTAATGCAATCGGTCGATTGCAATTTTCGACGTTTTATTATAAAAACATTTGTACAAACGAACGAAAACATGCATTGCTTTTGGAACAAGAAAAAAAATCAGCAAAATGAAAAGTTACATGATTGTTTTACGGAGAATTTCAGCAACCATATCTCTAAAAAAGGTGTGAGTGTTGAAGTGGTTGTGCTCTTTTTTGATAACAATTCCCATGACCAAAGCCAAACCCACACACACCTACCTATACTCACACCGATACCCACACCTATCCGTACCTCGGGTGCATTCTAGTTTGGTTATCAAATCATAGCACTAAGTTTTTATTTGACGTCAGCCGTGATTAAATAAAATGGTTGATATAAATTCAAAAAATAGCATAAATGGATTGTAAACAGGCGAGACCATTCGTCAGATCTCACACTATTTCGTTCTCGTCTTACTATCGGAAATCTTAGTTCGTCTTACAGTGAGGCAAAGTAGGTCTATGGATTTTTGTTCTTGACGGCATAATTGAAAGTTCCTATCGCTCAATGAAGATCACGTACAATTATTCTGAATTTAAAAAATAAATCTCGTAAATTGTTGATTTCCATGAAACTTGTCTAAGATGGCAGTATCGTTTATATTCAAATAAAAAAAATAGTTCTAAAAAAACCGATTGAAAACACATTATTGAGGTTAATATGAAGATAGCTCATTGAATAATTCATTGTGATTTTTTTGTTATTGCATAAGTATATTCTAATTATGACTCATGAAGGTAGAAAAACAACCTCCCACTGTTTCTTTTTTTCTTTTCATCGTCGTATTATAAATTGCGCACGTAGAGAGAAACTTGTTTACAAAAAAGTCTTCAACTTTTAAAAGAAAAAAGTATGGAGAATGGTATGGATTTATTACATGCAGCTGAATGTGGTCTTTTATCTGTAGTTAAAAAATTATTATCCGATAATAAGTCAATAATTCGTTCTTGTCGACATCAAAGTCGGAGAAACCATGCTTTTAACTTTGACTCTTCAGCTATTCATTATGCTTCTCGATCAGGTCATATCAATATTGTTAAATATTTATTAGAACAAGATTCAACAATTATCAACGATCATGATCGTGAAAATTGGACAGCATTACATTATGCTTGTTATAATGGACATATAAATATCGTAAAACTATTATTAACTCATAATGTCAATGTTAATATGAAAGATAAATATTTGTCTCAAACACCTATACAGTTTGCTATGTATAGACAACTTCATGATATTGTTTATCTGTTAGATCCTCATATAAAATGGACACGTGACAATGTTGATGATAAATCAAAAGCTCGAAATATACCTGTATTTCGAAAAAAATCAAATTTATTTCTTGGTAGATATATTTTAAATGATAATCATATTAAACAAATCGAATTATTTCGAAATAATTTACAATCAAATGATATTGAATTAAGAAAAGTTCAAGATGTTGAATTATCAAATCTTCTTGTTCGAATAATACTTACACATGATTTTAAGAAACATATTAATAAAACCATAGAATTATCATCAGAAGAAGACGATGATCCATTTTTAAGATCATCATCAACATCAGCTCATGAACATATTATGGTTTTTAACCCTTTCGGGACCGGTGACGCTTTAAAGCGTCATTGAAATTTTACATGATCTGACGCAAGTGAATTTGGATTTTTTTCTGGGTCTTTTCGAAGTAAATGTTGCGGCTGCTTTATTTTACACGTTTGTGTTATGACCTGCATCTTTATCTCTCTCACTACCATTCATGTGTTATAAATTTTTCGATTCTGTCATTTGTATATGTGTTGGATTTTTCCCTTACTGTCAT